GTAAGTCACTTAACCGTCCTGAGCTTCCTAACTTCATCTTCAAGGAAGAAACAATCATTTCATTCCACATCCCCTTACAGGTTGTGAAGATTAAATGAAAAAATTGAAGTGGGGTCCAAACACAGAGTTGTCATCTCACCTTTACTGATTCAGAGAACCGTGGCAGAGTTTCTAGACTCCAATCCAGTACCTTCAGTTTACAAAGAAAGAAAATGAAATTCAGAAAGGGGAAAATTGGGTCAGGCTCATACCTGTAATTCTAGCTCAGGAGGCTGAGATCTGAGGATCATGGTTAGAAGCTAGCCCCATCAGGGAAGTCTGGCCCAGAGTTCAAGCTCCACACCCACAAAACAACAACAACAAAATAAAAAAATCTGAAAGTACAATGAAGGAAAAAAAAAAGAGGGCTGGGAAGGTGGCTCAGTGGTAGAGTGCTTGCCTTGCATGCATGAGGCCCCTGGTTCGATTCCTCAGCACCACATAAACAGAAAAAAAGAAAAAGCCGGAAGTGGTACTGTGGCTCAAGTGGTAGAGTGCTAGCCTTGAGCTGAATTGCTGAGGGACAGCGCCCAGGCCCAGAGTTCAGGCCCATGACTGGACCCCCAAAAAAAAAAAGAAAAGAAAAAAGAAAATGAAGTGATTGACAGTGACATAGGAGTCTGTGTTAGAAATATCTCACGGAAAAAATTGACATTTTTATCCAAGATCTAAAGGAAAGTGAAGGATAAGCCCTGTGACCATCTAGAGAAAGAACATTTGTGATAAAACAGCAAATGCAAAGGCCCTGGGGCAGGTGATTTTAAAAAAGTTGGTACGACTGATATCATAAGAATGGGGGCTTGCCAAGCATGCATGAAGCCCTGGGTTCCATCCCAGTACCACATACACAGAAGAAAGCCAGAAGTGGCACTGTGGCTTAGGTGGTGGAGTGCTAGTCATTAGCAAAACAAGCTCAGGGACAGTACCCAGCCCTTGAGCTCAAAACCCCAGGACTGGCACAAAAATAAATAAATAAATAAAGAGGGAGGGTAGAAGGAGATGAGAGGAGATCAGAGAGGCATAGAATAGATGCCTAGTTCCTAGCACTTGGTAACTGACCTAATGAATATGTACAGAGCTAAATTGAATGGGCCCTGAGGCTGAACTCTCCAGGAAGAATGGCTCCTCTAACTCAGGGTACCAACTCTCCCATCCTTTGCCCAACCAGTACCATTTTGGTTCAACAAATAACATCTACTGGGTAGCTAGCCTGGCCTGGTCCAATTAGACAATAGCTTCAAAAAAAAATTTTTTTTTTTGGGTCCAGTCTTGGGGCCTGAACTCTGGGCCTGGGCGCTGTCCTCAGCTCTTCAGCTCAAGGCTAGCATGCTACCACTTGAGCCATAGCATCACTTCCGGCTTTTTTTTATTTTCTGCTTGTGTGGTGCTGAGAAATCGAACCCAGGGCCTCATGCATGCAAGGCAAGTGCTCTACCACTGAGCTATCTTCCCAGCCCTCAGTTGTTTTTCTATAACCTAGTCAAACACATTTTAGGTTAAATCTTAGTGTGTACATGAGTGTGTACATTGAAAAGTTTCATAAAACAGTAGTTCTTTTACAACATACAATGCACTTCATTCATTCTTTCATTTACTACTGTTCCTGGGCCTTGAACTGAGGGCCTGAGTGCTCTCTCTGAGGTTTTTTTTTCCTTTTTGTTCAGTCATGGGTCTTGAACTCTAGGCCTGGGACTCGAGCACTGTCCCCAAGCTCAAGGCTAGCTCTCTACCACTTGAATCACAGAGCCACTTCTGGTTTTCTGGTGGTTAATTGGAGATAGTCTCACAGACTTTCTTGCTGGGGCTGGCTTTGAGCCGTGATCCTCAGATCTCAGCCTCTTGAGTAGCTAGGATTACAGACATGAACCACCAGCATCCTGCTTCTCCATGAGATTTCATGCTGAAGGCTGGTGCTCTACCACTTGAGCTACAGCCCCACTTCCAGCTTTTTTGGTACTTAATTGGAATCTCACAGACTTTCTTGCCCAGGCTGGCTTTGAAATGTGATCTTCAGTTCTTAGCCTCTTGAGCAGGATAATGAGCCACTAGTATACCCAGATTATTTTATTTTAATCAAACCTCTTAATTGATCTCCTGTTATTTAAAAAACAGCCATAAAGAAAGTGGAGAAATAAGTTGGGACACTGACCTCAAGCCCTGTCATCTCTAGGGCAAACCCATAATAACAGTATACATTGGGACAACTCTTGGCAGAGCATGTGTTAGAGCTTACAGAAGAGGAAATTGAATTTCTGGAAGACTGAATTTCCCGAGGGAAAACTTGTTTAGAAGGTGGCTTCGTCTAGGCTGAAATATAGACTCAACCTTACATCCAGGTCTGTGGCCAAAGCTTCCCATACCTCCTGTATGCCCAGAATGTAGAAGGAAGTGTCTTAGGGCCAGAGAAGGCACTGGGGAAGGAGGGGACTAAGTGTCAAGCAGAGTTTCCCATCATGTCATATCACCCCCCACCAGGAAGGTCGCGTAGCCATCACCCGAGTGGCCAACCTTCTGCTGTGCATGTATGCCAAGGAGACTGTAGGCTTCGGAATGCTTAAAGCCAAGGTGTGTATGTGCCCATTTCCCCCCCCCCCCCCCCCCAGCCCTGGGCTCAGCTCCATTACCAGGTCCATTTTTTCCCTTTGTTAAATTGTCCCTCCAATCCATGTCTGGCGTGGATTAATTCAAGAGCAGGGGCTGGGTGGTGGCTTGCTTAGGGTGACGTTGGAGGCAAATGTGTGGTAGGCCACAAGTTACTTGATTTATGTTCCCCTTTTGCAGGCCCAGGCCTTGGTGCAATACCTGGAGGAGCCCCTCACCCAAGTAGCGGCATCATAATGGTATTGATGGAAGCTGAGGTCAGAGAAGAGAGATGAGCATTTGGAGGGGCAGAGTCCCTCAGAAAAACCTTGCTGGACTGTCTGGGTTGCGGGTGAGGGAGTTTTGTTTCACCCAAAATAAATTTCAGCTCCTGCCTTGTGTACCGACTATTTTTTTTTCCTTTCTTCCTTATTTCTTTGCCTTGTTTTTTGTTTTTAACTTTTCTTTTTTATTTGAGGCTGGATCTCAGGCTTGCCTTGAACTTGGCTATTTTCCTTCCTCTCGACCTCCAGAGTGCTAGAATTACAGGCATGTACAACCACATCCGAGTTAGCATCTTTCTCGGATGAGAGGAATCAGAGGACATGGGATGGTGTGGGGATGACTCAAAGGATTCTTCCTATTCACTACATTTTGTTGTTGTTGTTGTTGATCGTGGGGCTTGAACTCTGGGCCTCAGCTCTTCAGCTCAAGGCTAGCACTTTACTCCTTGAGCCACAGCGCCACTCCAGCTTTTTCTGCTTATGTGGTGCTGAGGAATCAAACCCAGGGTCTCATGCATGCAAGGCAAGCACTCTACCACTGAGCCATCTTCCCAGCCTTACATTTTTTGTTGTTGTTGGTGGTGGTGGTCATGCTTGAACTCTGAGCCTGAGCACTATTGGCTCTTCAGCTCAAGGCTAGCATTCTAACACTTGAGCCACAGCTCAACTTACAGTTTTCTGGTGGTTTATTCATCCCTGCCTGGGGTGGCTTTGAACCACGATTCTCAGATCTCAGCCTCCTGAGTAGCTAGGATTACAGGCGTGAGCCACCAGTACCAGGCCTAGTTTTTCATGGCAGTGAGATTTCAGTTCCCTTATTCTTTCCTAGCACCTGCCACTCACTTGTTTGGTGAAGACTTGGGAATAAACTCAAAGAGCAAAATCTGATCCTGTTGAAGGTGGTATATCTTGTAATCCTTTCTCCTCTCAGGTATTCATAAATCAAATTATCTAGACCCTCTCTGGATCCTTTTTTTCCCCCCTCACAATACCGAGGAATGAACTCAGGGCCTCTCTCTTGCTAGGCAAGTACTCTATCACTTTATGCACACCCCTAAACCTTTATTTATTTATTATTTTTATTTTTGCCGGTCATGGGGCTTGAACTCTGGGCCTGGGCACTGTCCCTCAGCTCTTCAGCTCAAGGCCAGCGCTTTACCACATGAGCCACAGCGCCACTTCCAGCTTTTTCTGCTTATGTGGTGCTGAGGAATGGAACCCAGGGCCTCATGCATGCAAGGCAAGTACTCTACCCCTGAGCCACCTTCCCAGCCCTTTATTTTGTTTTTGAGATAGGGTCTCAAAAACATAAAAACTATGATCATCATCTCCACCTTGGAGTGCTAGGCTTATACAGTACTTCATCATGTTCCACTCTCTTTAATAAATCTTGAAGTCCATTAGCAATAAGAAACCTTTGCTGTGAGGCCTCAGATCCTGGATAAAGAGTAAACAAACCCCAGGAGACCTTTCAGGGCCTTTATCTCTAGATCCTGCCCCTGTACCCAGCCCAGCTGGCTCTTTCTGACCCATGCTTCCCCCTGCCCAGTGTCCTTAGAGCAGGTCTGTGTAGGGAGCTGCTAGCCCTTGGCCTCATGGTAGAAAAAAGGATCTCTGCCAGCTGGGTAGGCTTAGCTCCACCCAGGGTGAGAACGCTGCCCATCCCAGGCTCTGGGCTGTCAGCGAAGGGCAGAAGCTGCTTTTGTACTATAGCAGGGCCACTGGCATCAGCCCCCACCCCTTTTCCCAACAGTCTTTCTCTGTGGCCCCAGACTTTACTGTAACACTTTAACAGAGCCGTTGAGGGAAAAATAACAAGTCAAGTGGGTTTTTGCTTCCCAAGGGGCACTGGTTAGAACCCCACCTTCACCACAGGTCCTGGGAGCCAAGCATGGCACACTCGGGCTTTAGTGGGCTCTCTCCAAAGGTTCAGTCCCAGGTTCCCCAATGTTACCCGCTGGAACTGGCTTCCTTGCTCTCAGGAGCCCAGGCTCATAACAGACACCCAACCTGTCTAACCTGTATGATGTCATCATCTCTCCACCCACCTGGGCCCCAGGTCTCCAGCGCTTGCACTTCCTGTTCTCCCTCGGCTTCCGTCCTCTCAGCTTCCATACAGACAGCACCCCCACCTGCCAGAGCTGAGAGTCCCTAGGACCTGCTCTGCCTTGAGTTGGCCTTCAATCTCTCTGTCTGCAGAAGTCTCCTGGCCCCCAATGAGAGAAAAGGTGGGTGAAGGTCTCAAGAGCTGAGGGTTAGGGGCATTGAACTAACACACAGACTTGTGATCTCTACCCCTGTAAAGCCACCTGCACCTTCCATGTGGAGCCAAGATGGGGAATGGAAATGAGGACGATTATAACTTTGTCTTCAAGGGTAAGTTGGGGAACCCTGAAGAGAGAGGAAGCCTAACAAACCTGAAAGAAAAAAGGGCAAGAGGGTACCCAGCCCCCCCCCCAACTTGCTTTTTATCTCTTATCAGAACCCCCTAGGACTGACCATTCCCTCCCCTAAGAAAGGTAGCTGCAGGGAAGGAGGGGATTGCGGAGGGAGGGCGGGGTGCAGGGCAAAAGTTCTACTGTTGTAAATAAAATGCTGATCATTCCTTTCTATTTGGTGTTAGACTCCTCTGCCTTGCGAATGGAGGCCCAAATCCCTGGAAATAGCCACTGCAGTATAAGAGATGGAGGTCAGACTTGAGAAAGGACTTCCATTCTTGGGGAAAGAAACAGATTTAAGAGAGGAAAAAAAAAATCATTGGAGCTGGGAATGTGGCTTGCCTAGCATGTATGAAGCCCTGGGAACTATTCCTCAGTACCACATAAACAGAAAAAGACAGAAGTGGTGCTGTGGCTCAAGTGGTAGAGCACTAGCCTTGAACACAGAGAGGCTCAAGGACAGTGCCCAAGCCCTGAGTTCAATCTCCAGAATCAGAAAAAAAAATCTTTATAGGTTGTAACCCTACTTAAAAAAAATTAAATCTTTCTGAGCAGGTGTGCAGAAATGGACTTATCAGGGGCTGGGAAGGTGGCTCAGTGGTAAAGTGCTTGCCTTGCATGCCTGAGGCCTTGGGTTCGATTCCTCAGCACCACATAAGAAAAAAGCCGGGAGTGGCACTGTGCTCACGTGGTAGAGCCCTATCCTTGAGCTGAAGAGCTGAGGGACAGCGCCCAGGCCCAGAGTTCAGGCCCCACAACCAGACCCCCCCCCCAAAAAAAAAGAAATGGACTTATCAGACATAAGGAAGATATAATGAATTTGGACCAGAATCCGATAAAAATCCACAGGATTCTTGGCCCTGGAGCTTTGGTTGCCTGTCCCTGGTCAGAGATATCAGGCACTGGGTTCAGCTTGGTCCCTGAAAGTGGGCATGTGCCCTTCCTGCTTCTTTACCTTGGCCCTGTGTTTGATTCTTCTATGGGTCCCCAAGCCAGGCTCCACACCTGCTTGAGGTTAGGGCAGACTGCTAGGCTCTCTTTTCCCACCCCACCCTACTGCCTCTCCCAGCCACAGCCTCACCCTCACTCAAGCTGGGGAACCTGTACACCTGGCTTCTTCCCTAGATAGGAGAGACAGGGTAAAGGTTGGCAATAGTCTGGGGTAATAATACTACTAACTGCCATTTATTTGAGCTCTTATTAGGTGCTATTAACATAGTACTCCACAAAGATGTTTTTGGTGATTTTTTGTGCTGGTCTTGGGGCTTGAACTCAGGGCCTGGGCACTGTCCCTGAGGTTGTTTTTTTTTTTTTTTGCTCAAGCCTAACACTCTACTACTTGAATCACAGCTCTACTTTCTGCTTTTCGGTGATTAATTAGCAATAAGAATCTCACAGACTTTCTTACCTGGGCTGCCTTTAAAACTCGGATCTTCAGATCTCTGTCTCCTGGTGGGTATGAGCCACCAGTTATGGAAAAATTATTTTTGTTTGTTTGTTTGTTTTTGAGATAGTTTGACCATGTAGCTCAGGTTGACTTTGAACTTCCTGTCTTTGTGTCTCTGAGTGCTGGGATTGTGGGTGTGAACCACCACTTCCAGCCAAAAGTCTTTCATTTCGAGAGCAGCATAGTATTGTGACCAGGTGCCAGTTCAGAACTTAGCTCTGCCACTTACATATTAGTGGAGGTGGGGGTCTCTGAGTTCAATGTTGATTATGTAAAAGTAAGAGGGAGAAAACAAGATTGGACAGAGGGAGAAGCTAATTGCAACATAGACTCCATAAAGCCTGGGTATGTGGGGGTTGGTGGGGTGGGGGAGGATTGAGGGGCTGGGATGGCCTCACTTAGGCACTGTGTGGGACTACCTAGGACAGGTGTGACTGAGTGATATTGAAGGCAAGTTGGGAGCTGTCCCTGCGGTGAGGCAGGTAGAGCAAGTCCTTCCCTGAAGGTGGATCTGAACAGTTTGCCACATGCTGTTTAGCATCCTGAGTTAGTCATTTGACCTCCCTAGTGCCTACCTTGACTATAAAAACAGTAATAGTGCATTTACCTCCAGACATTGTTGGGAAGATTGAATGAATTAATGTGTAAAGTTTTTAAGATGATACCTAGCCCTTAGTAAGCACTCAATAAATATTAACCATTGGAATTTAACTCCATTTTACAGATGAGGAAATTAAAGCTTAGAAAGTAAGTAGTTTACAAAAAGCTACAAAGCCAGTAGTAGTTAAACCTGTCAGTCTGATTCTAAAAGCCCTTGCCCTGACCAACCTGAGCCTTTGCACTGAGAGGAATGGGATGGGGATGGGGAAAAGATGCCTAGTACCTTCTCTCTCTCTCTCTCTCTCTCTCTCTCACACACACACACACACACACACACACATACGTCTTTTTTTTTTGGTCGGTCGTGGGGCTTGAACTCTGGGCCTGGGTGCTGTCCCTCAGCTCTTCAGCTCAAGGCGTGAGCTCTACCACTTGAGCTACAGCGCCACTTCCGGTTTTCTGGTGGTTTATTGGAGATAGGAGTCTCACGGTCTCTCCTGCCCGGGCTGGCTTTGAACTGCCGATCCTCAGATCTCAGCCTCCTGAGTAGCTAGGATTACAGGCGTGAGCCACCAGCACCCGGCTACGTCTTTTTTTTTTTTTTATTTGTCTTCTTTTTTTTTTTTTTTTTGGGTCCAGTTGTGGGGACTGTCCCTCAGCTCTTCAGCTCAAGGCTAGCACTCTACCACTTGAGCCACAGCACCACTTCTGGCTTTTTTCTTTTTGCTTATGTGGCGCTGAGGAATCGAACCCAGGGCCTCATGCATGCAAGGCAAGCGCTCTACCACTGAGCCACCTTCCCAGCCCTTAAAATTGTCTTCTTGACAGTACTGGGGTTTGAAGTCAGAGTTGCTTTCGGATTTATTTATATATTTATGCTGGTACTGGGGTTATATGGATGGCACACTTTTTTTGTTTGTTTTGTTTTTAAGCTGGAACTAGAGCTTGAATTCAGGGCCTGGGCACTATCCCTCAGCATTTTGTGTGTGTGTGTGTGTGTGTGTGTGCACGCGTGCCAGTCCCGGAGCTTGAATTTGGTGCATGAGTACGGTTCCTGAGCTTCTTTTGCTCAAGGTTAGCACTCTACACTTTGAGCCACACCTCCACTTTTGGGCTTTTTAGTGGTTCATCGGAAATAAGAATCTTATAGTTTTGTATATCTGGGCTGATTCGGAGCCTTGATTCTCAGCTCTCAACCTCAAGAGTAGCTGAGATTGGGCTGGGAAGGTGGCTCAGTGGTAGAGTGCTTGCCTTGCATGCATGAGGCCCTGGGTTCGATTCCTCAGCACCACATAAGCAAGAAGAAAAAAG